GCTTTAAAAATCAAAGCTCTTTTTCCATAAAGTCAAAAGCTTGCAAACGGTTATACGGTTTGTTAGATACGGCAGCTATTAAAAACATGAGAATTTTTATGATATATTTTTTTTAATGGTTATTTTGAACAACAAATTTTATATTTAACATTTTTTTTTGTATCTCTTCAATTAACAGGTATATAGGGTAAAAAGCACCGTCGTTGGATAACCCTATACCCCGTACAGTTGCGTTTCAAGGCAAATTTGTTATAATAGGTTTTTAATTTGAAATATTATGGTTGAAAGTCAAACCAAATTGTAACACAGGGCAAAAATGATTTATCACAAATCTCTTATTTTTGTAAAATTACAGTTGTCATTACCAGAGAAAGATTCTTGTAATTTTTTCATAGGCGCACCTGCCAAAAAGGCATCTTCTAAATCTCAATTTCGTCGTAAATTAAACGTTCCTAACAGGCAAAATGGCTCGAAATGTATTATTTAGACAAATGGCAAGTTGCTCGTGAAAGAAAAGCGTCTTTGAGCGATTTGAAGGGAACAGTGAAAAGAATGGGACTTCCGGAAGGGATGAAACTTTAATTGAAATGCCTCGGGCTTTGCCGTGTCTTTGAGTCAAACTTGTGTGACTTTCCTCTTTTTTTTTTTAGAGGGTGCAAATGTCATAGGGAGCTTTCTGTTGGGATAAAATTTGAAATTTTTCACTTGCAACAATGTATTTTATTTACAATCATACATGTAATGTTGACTTTACTGACTTTTAAAAAGGTTGAAAATGTCACTTTTTTGACTTTTACTTTCGGCCCACGGGTCGAAAGTTTACTTTCGGCCCACGGGTTGTTGTTAAAATTTCATAAGATGTCAATGTCGGTGTCAGACTGTCAGTCGAAATTCCATTTTTGTCATGTTTTCACCTTATTTTTTTTTCAATAATTAATGGTTCAAAATAAAATAGTATACATATTTCGGTAGAAAGTTTTCACATATATTGTCTCGAGAATTGGTTGACCTCGGCGCTTCGCACCTCGGTCAACCATAGTATATCTCGACAATAATGAAACACTTTCCACCTCCGCATGTAATATACTATATTTTACCATGCCAACTAACTTTTAAATGCTAACTCCCAATAAATTACCTATTACAGACAGCTTTACTACCATGGGCTAGTTGTTTTAAAATTGAAATTTATTGAACTTCTTTGCATGAACGCCAATTTATATTGTAAAATTTCCTAAAATTAATCTTATTCCTTAATCTTTCTAGCAAACTCCACCCTCTATAGTCAAATTTAATATATTAAATGCCAAATCCCCTAGCTTTCAATTCATCACACACCAACTATTAACCCCCCCTAAAGATAAGTAACCCCCAGCAATATCCGACTTGGCATATAACAAGGATATTAGGCGATACAACTTAACTAAAAGGGGGACATAGAATTCCCCCAAAAACGAGTACAAGACCGAAACTTCGAAAAATACACACGAATTGACGCGGAAAATTTAAGCTGGTGCTTATTCAATCGCTCGTTTAATTCCGGAGGCACAATTAAAGATATATACATGGAGCCCTTTTGCAGCCCCATTTAGTGGGGAAGTTACACGGAAAATCTATTTGTTCCATTAATTCGCAGACTAAATCCCATAAAGTAATTCCGTCTAGGAACTTAACTAAAGTAGGTTTATTAGGAGATTTTTGTTTCACAAACTACAAAAATTAGCCCTCTAGAATACTAACCCAGTTTCATTAAAACTGATGAACGTATATAAGTTTCAAGGGGCGTACTTAAGAAAGTAACTTTTCCCAGTACAGAAACCAGACAATAATTAATTGCAAGTCAAAAACTTATCCCTTATTATAAATCTCTTAAGAAAGTTCAACCAGGTTTGAAGCACATCGTGTGTATGGAAGTTATCTATATTTGTGGCAGAACTTTTCAACTTAGAATTTAATTTTATGTATTGTTGGATTTTTCACATCGCCTTTTTGTAAGTATATGCAAAACAAGTTTCTTTTCTTTGCTGGGGACAATAGAATTGATTTTTTGTATATATAAGCTTTCAACCCCAAAAAACAAATTTTCTAGAATTTTTTCAGAAAGTATGGGGTTCATGAGGTAGCCCCTTATGCTTATGGACAGAATAAGCTAGAATTCTCCCCCTCGGGTCTTCCAGAAACATATGGTCAAATTTTTGTTCAGGATTTTTCATACAAGTTGTGAACATTCCGTAAAAATTTTTGCCACCGATATTCCTAAACTGTTTATCAACCTGCTTTACGTTAATTTGTGCAAATTGGCTTAAGTGATAAATCGTTGGTAACAATGTTGCAAATAACAAGGTTTGAAATAAATATTTTCACACCAGTGAGGACAGTTTGGCTGAGCACGAAGGCAACAAATGAATTCAGTGTGAAAAAAGGTTTTTCAACGTGTTGCCAATATTGTTTCTACCACTGTAAAGTGAGGAAAAAATAAAACTACATTTACGTGTGCAGTGGGTACTTTCTGCAGAAGTACATGCCTGGAATTGTTCGGTTATTGGGACATTTTTTACTAATGAAGATTGCGGAAGCTGGATTTCTGGTTCTTTTCCGGCTGCTGAACATTCCAATCAGGTATAGCTACTCGTTCAAAAAACTCTGTTTTAGATTTTCTGAGTTGATGTGGTTTTAGTAGCAAGTGGAGTAGTGGTTTTGGTGTTTGTGATCTCGATTAGCATTGAATCTGCCGTCTGTTATGTTTGCTAAATTTCCTCTCAGCCACCTCCGTCTAAAATATTAAAAATTAAACAAATCATGCTTATTTTTACAGCATTTGTCAACCAATTTTACTCATTCTTCTATCAAAACATTTTAATTTCAAATATTTTCCAAAGTCTCCTAGAAAACAGTGATCGAAGTACTCTCTCAGATAAATTACTTTTTTATAATTTCAATGAAATTTTCCTCTAGCATTTAATGATTATACTTATAGAATAATATAATAAATCTTTGCAGCTCAGTCATTTGTCTTAGACTATGTATATTTTCTAATTGTTTGTGAATATTTTTGTAGAATACAGGTTTCAGAATAAATCAATAAATACATTTTTAATGCCTGCTAGGTATTGAGATTATTTCTCTAATATTGCATTTACATACGTACAATACTAGATATTTACTAGATATAATGAGTTTTCCAAACACTATTTGATAAACATCTAAGAGCTCAAGGCGTCAAAGAAATAGACGAATAAACAATGTTAGAACAGTCTCCAGCTCAACCATGACACTAAGAAAATATTTAACCAAAAATATCACAAGAACACAGAAAAAAAAAATTGCTTTACATACCTACTTAGGTACCTTGCGAATATGGAGAATTATATACAGGGAGAACAGAATTAACAGAAAGGCCATTCGATGTAGGAGTGAAAGTACCTAAAACTTACACCCAGTGAACAGGAATCATAAAATAAGGCATCGCTCAATACCTATGGGAGAAGCAACACAACATCCAATAGAATCTTGTTCAATTCAAGGAGAAGGAAGTAGAGTAGTTAGCTCATCATATTCTGAAGAAAACAGAAATTAATTCAGAAATTCCAAGAATAACTTCTAGAAAGGTATGAAAATCTCTGGAAATCGCGAATAAATTTGGATACCCGGTGCCCACAAGATAACCTACTTACATCAGTACTTACCAAAATCTAGCTTAGACGTATGAAATTCTATACCGATTTCAATCTACTCTAAAGACCATGCGGAATTTCAACATAGGAACAGTTGACTGTCATTTCCGATTTGACCGAAACTGTTACCAACTTCTTTATTTTAGATGATCCACCGTCCACCCTGTATATTGAGTAGACTTTTAATAAATTTAAGACCAAAAACCTCAAAATTAGCGAATTTCCATCATCTTATAGGTGGCTTTGCCTCCATCCAAGTTTTTTTAATTTTCAATCAACTTCTCTACTGTCTTGGGCACATCTTTAACATATAATGATATGCATCGAAAGCCCTGTACATTTCGAATTCACTGTATCAGGTTGGTAATCGTCTGTTTCCTTTTCCTTGTTTTATTTCTTGTCTTTCATCTTGAAACACGAAAAGGAGGTTCTTCTTCCTGTTTTGGGGAAACACACCCCTACCTGAAGGTTGACATCTGAGTATCTGAGAGATTAAAATGAAAAGTCTTTGGTGATCCACCATGTATAGTTACCTAGATAATTAAACAAACATTTTTAAGTTAAAGTTGTAGGTATTACCAAACGTCACAGCTCAATTAATATTCAAAAGTAATATCTATTGAAAACAATAATGGGAAAAAGGTTTTTTCCCTTCTGGGAGAGTCGGTATTTTCTATGCTAATTCCATTGAAAATAAATTTCAATATTACTTGAATAGGTAACTCGCGGAATAAACCGCAATTTTTCTGATTTAATTGCAAACCGGCGTGATGATGTTTTCTAGTAATATATAATTAGGTATTGGGCTATTAAATTTGTTATGAATAATTTTTTTTTTGTTCTACAGGATGATCACCTAGCAAATTTTTTTTGATAACAAACGTCATATAACATTATGGCTTTTTAATATAATCGGTGATTAATGTTGCTTTTAAATTGTTTACGTTACCTTCAAACCTTTTACCTGTGCATGTACAAAAAAATAGGGGCCGATAAAACATAAATGGGCTAATATAATTATATTGCACGTGTGCATTTTCATTTTCAAACAGTTTTCTAGGCTAACAGTAAAAAATTTAATTGTCGCCTATAAATGGTTCACTTGGTACAACCGTCTATGGAATACAACTTACACCTTTACCACAACTAATTGACGCTATTAATCACAGTGAAATCCCTATTTTTAACTACACTTAGTTTAGACAAACACTTCAATGAATGAATACTTAGTTATTAGTTAAAAATATATTTATCGATAAGTAGCGTAGTGACTTAAAGTGAATTATATGCGGTTTAGTTTTAGTTTTAATAAATCCAGGTTTAACGATGGAAAATAACTTACTTCCGGATGAAAACTCCAACAACGAATTATTGCCAACTAAACTTTACAAAAGAAGATGGTATATTTTGATGGTTTTCGTGTACTACGCTTTTGTGAACGGTATTCAAATGACTGAATATTCAAGCATAACCGATGTAGTTTCCAAGTATTACAAAGTTAGCCATTTTATGGTAAATTGGACGTCGTTACTCTATATGATTCTTTATCCTGTTTTGATGATTCCAGCATCCTACATTATTGAGAAAAAGGTAAATTTTCGGATTTATTGTAAAACAGTGTCAGTTTTTATAATTTTTGTAGGGTTTACGTGTGGCGTCACTATTCGGATGTTTCGGCACCACAATAGGAACTTTGATAAAATTGTTTTCCATCGGCCCAAATCGGTTTTGGGTAGTTATGCTTGGTCAGTTTTGCACTGCCTCATCTTTAGTTTTTATTATGTGCCTGCCACCGAAAATAGCTGCGGTTTGGTTCAAACCAAGTGAGGTAAAGGAGTTTTTTTAAAAAGTTACATTATAGTTAATATTTTTTTCTAGATCTCGATGGCTTGTTCTCTGGGTACACTAGGTCCAAGTTTGGGAAATGCATTTGGATATTTGCTTACAGTATCAATAGTGAATGCTAGCGATGATATTGGTCAAAATTTGAGTATTCTTTGCTGGGTGCTGGCTATTTTGATTATTCCAGTTAGCGTAACTGTGTTTTGCTGTAAGTATTAGGATCATCCCATAATTAATTGGAATTAGAAGGCGCACTCAACTAATTATTATGATTACTCATTCCTTAAATGTTGAAAGAGTTTTCAGCAAACTGTTATCTTAGTACAACTTGTAGTTGTTCGGAAGATGATGGGATTTGAGGGATCGTTTGTGCTTCTTTGCTGTTATTGTAAGCGATTACTTTCGCAAGATTTCAGTATTATGATTTGTGGAAACTGATTCAGTCTCAGTAATGTCAGTCAACTTTATCTAGCCATCTCCTTCATCAACTGGGAAATTGTATCACGGCCTGGGGTGCCTTGCTGGCTTTCCTGTCAGTTTTCTGGAGGATTCACGTGATTCCTGGAATTTCACCGCGTTAGCTCATCTTTGTGCTTTTCTTAGATGCGGAGTTGTTGGTTGGTCATAAGTCAGTGAAACAGCTTAGAGAATCAAATTTTTTGTATTGATCAACGTTTCGACCAATATATGGTCATCCTCAGGATCCTAAAATACATCATAATAACAATTAAGTTGTTACAAACAATAAAACAGTACGAGAAGATTTTGTGATAATAAATTAATAGCGACATAAATTAAGGGTAAGATAGCTATAGGTTTCTTGTACGAAAAAATTTATTATTATCTAATTAACATACTTACATACAAGTAAAATTCTCTGTTGTGAAACTTTTTGAAATTTTTGATATCACCCATTTTGGCCCTAAGGGTGGTTAGTTAGGTAATAGATAACGTCCAACTTGACTGGAAGTATTTTGGGGCTTAGGGCTGGAGTGTTTTTAAATATATAGATATGTAGTTAGTCGGCAGTGAAATTATTCATACATGTTTATCATCGACAAAATATAAATGCAAGTCTGAGCTTGTTGTTTTTGCTAGAATGGAAACGCTTATCAGTTATAAGTAAAAATAAGCGTGAAACATGATACCCCTGTTTGTTCCCACATTAAACGTCGGCGGTATGATGATTCACGAATTTTCTTTATTTACCACTACAGCATCCTGTTATATGATACAACGAACTTCACACTATGTACGCTAGATGGCGCCACCGATAACATCATGACGTCGAAAAATTTGGGGTTGCCCGGGTCAAGTCCCCGAAATTTCAGATCAAAGGCACCGCCGATCTAGAGATTTTCCTCCGGTATCGAAAAATTTCCAATGCTCAGGTACCCCCGATACTACTATATGTAGTTAGTCGGCAGTGAAAATATTCGTACATGTTTATAATCGACAAAATATAAATGCAAGTCTGAGCTTGTTGTCTTTGCTAGAATGGAAACGCTTATCAGTTATAACTAAAAATAACCGTGAAACATGATATCCCTGTTTGTTCCCACATTAAACGTCAGCAGCATGATGATTCACGAATTTTCTTAATTCACCACTACAGCATCCTGTAATATGACACAACGAACTTCACACTATGTACGCTAGATTGCGCCACCGATAACATCATGACGTCGAAAATTTGGGGTTGGCCCGGTTCAAATCCCTCACAGACGTATTTCTCATCCAGGCGTGGGGTCTTCAGTCCAGGAAGGGGCGCAGCCTTCTGAGTCGTTTTCTTGTATGAATTCATAGGGTTGATTTCAAGCGAGTCTTGGACGATTTGCCCTTATGTGAAAGATAAAGTGAAAATGGGACGCCTTGCTTATAAGTAGAATATTATAGCGACTCACAAATCAAAAAGAAAGATCACATAGGGATCAAATATAAGTGAAATATGCAATTATTTATATAAAAATACAAAACTTGGGACTTACCAACTCAGACTTTCTATCGCACTACTTTCGAGTCCTTGCCAAGTTTTCCTTACATAAAAGTTCAAACTAAAAAGGAGATTTTTTTGATATTCGTCAATGGCACTATGATGTAGGGGTGCTTGTGCCGAAAGACATGGACAAAGGTTCGATGCTACTCCATAATTTTTTCCTCTTGTACGGGATCTTCTTTATGGTAAATTTCTTCTGCAAATCATCCGGGTTCCTCGTCAATTTTCTTTGCACTTTAAGTAAGAGGAATGGGTAGAATCCTACACCTAGCTATCCGTTTGGCCGGTGATAATATGATTCCAAAAATCACCATTAAATCCAAATCGGCGAAACACTACCGGCTCTCATTGAAACCCGAATTTATTTTATTCGAAATATCGGATCAATTTCAAAGCCTATTCCGATTTCTTTCATCTGGGATTTTAATAAAAGCTTCTCAAACGTAATTTCTCTTTTAGATTTTCCTGAAAAACCTCCACTACCGCCAAGCATTTCACAAAGCAAATATCGAAGGGATGCGCATAAACAAAAAAAAATATCATTATTCAAAAGCTCGAATTTTCCTTTAGGGTTTTTTATTCATTTGCTGGCCTATGCTACCAATATAGGAGTTTTTTCAACTGTTATAATTCTTTTGAGCGAATTCGTTAATGCATACTTTCAGGTAAACTGTTTTTTTAAATCTTTACAGCTTTTAAAATCTATTTTATTACAGAATGCAGTAGAAGATGCAGGCAAAATGGGATTTTGCATGATGGCATTCGGACTTTTTGGCTCCGTTGCATTTGGATTCTATTTAGATAAAACTCATAAATACAAGTAAGTAAGTAGAACAAAATGAAAATCATGTAAATCTGTCTTATTCTTCTAGGGAGTCCTGCATCTTTATATACCTTGTGGCAACAGTGAGCATAATGCTACTAACAGTGGCACTGGAAAAACGTTCATTGATATGTGCCTATATCATATGCAGCATATTTGGGTAAGATTAAATTAAAAATTTTAAACATTATATTTATCAAGCATTGTTTTTTAGAGTTTGTATCAATCCATATATACCAGTGGGTTTTGAATTTGGTATTGAACTAACCTATCCAAGTGACGAAAGTACTGTAGCTGGACTACTATTTGCTGCATCACAGTTTATGAGTGTTATCATGGCAGTTAGTGTGGCCCATATTAATGTTTACTATGGATCGTTTTATGCCTTAACAACTTTATCTGTGGTACTTACTGTCGGTACTTTAATTCAGACATGTGTCCCTAACGATTTAAGACGACAAAGGATTTTTAAAATGGAAAGACATCAAGTTCTTTTTAGAAAATAAAAATGTTAATTGCTGTGATTGAAACGAAATGAGAAATATTATTTTTGTAAATGATAAACAGAAATGGATTAATTATGTTTTTTTTTTGTTATCTATTCATGCACTCAAAATCAAGTAATTTCAGAAAATTGGTGACGTAGCCTTATTGGTTTAATGTAAACCAGTTATCTTGATCGAATTATCAATGATTGTAGTAGGTATTATAGTATCTGCAAAGTATTCAAGTTATAAACAAATAATCAAAATTTCAAGAAAAATAAATGCATTACCCAATTCAGTATCCTAGCGTATAAAAGGGATGAGAACGAAAGTTTGAGTGACTATAAACCTAAGTGACAAAATGAAAATTATATTTATTCTCACGTTAACTGCGTACTTTAGTCAAGCTGAAGTTACATTCAGAAGTTTCCAGGTATGTGTATCACCTATTTATATTTTTTCGATGCATGTTTAATAACTTCATTTTTTAATGTACAATTTTCACCAATAGGTACAACACAAAAAAAAATATTCAGCCTTAGAATTGACACGTCGCGAGCAAATATTCAACCAAAATTTGATCAAAATCCAAAAAAACAATGAAAAATACCGTAAAGGATTGGTATCCTACCAAATGGGTATCAACCAATTTTCCGATTTGACTGAAGAGGAATTTTCTTCTAGATTTAAAACATTACCATTGAACAATACAAAGTTGAAAAATGTTTTAACACAAGATAGCAATAATTTCAATATTTCCGATTTACCTGAAAGTATTGATTGGCGAGAAAAGGGGATAGTAACCGAAGTTAAGGATCAAGGACTCTGTGGTGCTTGCTGGGCATTTAGTGCTGTAAGAACAATTTATTTTGTAGAATTTAATAATCGCAATATTTTTTTCTTAGACGGGTGCCCTAGAAGGTCAACTGGCCCTAAACTATAAAACTTTAATCCCCATAAGTGAGCAGCAGCTCATTGATTGTGATACTAAAGTGAACGTTGGCTGTGACGGCGGTTATATTCAAGAAGCTTTGCAATTTGCTACGACTAATGGCTTAACTACAGAAGAAAATTATCCCTATATACAGGCTCGGGGATATTGCCGAAAATGGAAGAAAAATGTCGTAAGAGGTGGTGGCTATGTGAATATTCTGCCTTATAATGAGACCGATCTGAAATTGGCTGTAGGACTTATGGGTTAGTACTTAGAAATTGACTCTCTTATTTTGAGAAATTTGTTTAGTAAAGGTGCAACACGGGTTCTAGCACAAAATCAGTCATTTTTCCATGTAAATCTCCATAAGAAAATCTAAGGTCCGTTCTGGCAATTTTTGTACCGTTTTGGAGTGCGAGTAAAATTTCCAGGAATAAGTCTCGCCCCCTTTTCAGTACCCGTGTTTTTCATCGATCGCACTAGCTGGTTAGTCGCCGTTGCTTCAGGGTCTTTGACCGTACCTAGCTCCGAGCGGCTCATCAAACACACATAGCACCTCGTAACTTGGTACCTCATTCAAGGTGCCTCGTACTAATGATGACGTAACTTATAATAAAATCCGCCTAGTGCTTTGTCTAGTTGCAGATGTAAGTTGTACGAGGCGGGAGCCAACTCTTAGGTCATTAGGTTATGTAAATGGGGCCCGGAGAACAAAGCTCCAGTAATTGGGGGCCCGTAATACGGGTCAGTTAAATAGCTGTATCAGACCAGTCTCTAGACCTGTATGGCAGTATACAGACCTATTTCTAGACTTCTATAGCTGTATACAGACCTTTCTAGAGACAGGTCTGTATACAGCTATACAGGTCTAAAAACAGGTCTTAAGACAGGTCTATATACAGCTATTCAACTGACCCGTATTACGAGCCCTCAATTTACTGGAGATTTGTTCTCCGGGCCCCATTTACATAACCTAAAAGTTGGCTCCCGTCTCGTGCAACTAGACAAAGTACGAGTATTATTAGTTACGTCATCATTAGTACGAGGCACCTTGAATGAGGTACGAAGTCACGAGGTGCTATGTGTGTTCGATGAGCCCCGCTCGGAGCTAGGTACGGTCAATGACCCTGAAGCAGCGACGACTAACCAGCTAGTGCGATGGATGAAAGACACGGACACTGGAAAGGGGGTGGGGCTTATTCTTGGAAATTTTAACCCCACTTCAAAATGGTACATAAATTGCCAGGACAGACCTTAGATTTTCACATGGAGATTTACATTGGAAAATGACTGATTTTGTGCTAGAGCCCGTGTTGCACCTTCACTTTGTTTGACTACCTGTTTCAATTTGGAGCAATGAAGACGACTAATAAAGCGAATTTCTTGATTGCGTGTAGAAGTGTAAATATCTAAGTATTTTTGAGGACAATTTTCTGTTTTCCCTCAACCAAACTATTTATTCACTCTACTATACAATCTACGTTTCCACAGGTCCAGTATCAGTAGCCATACACTCAGGCCCATTTCAATTTTACCAGTCCGGAATCCATTCAGGTGCTGCCTGTACCGATAATGTGGACCACGGTGTTCTTGTAGTCGGCTATGGCAAAAATACATCATCCCAAGAAGAATATTGGCTATTGAAAAATTCATGGGGTACCTCATGGGGTGAAAATGGATATTTTAAATTAGCCATGAGCAAAAATAATACTGGTCTTTGTGGTATTGCCAAACAGTCTTGTTATCCGATCAATGTCACAAATTGTGGTTACAGCCTTGTACAAAATGTTTTAGTTTTAGGTTTAGTTTGTATAAAATTATTTTTCTAGTAAGTAAATATAATAGGCAAATTTGATATTCAGGTACAATTTTTATATATTATACCAAACCTGAAAATATTTTCTCAGTTTACAACAGTCATGCACATGCTTAAGTAAATGATAGCGTCGAGACACGGCAAACTCCAGGAAGCACAGTTATTTCAGCGGCTGAATATAAAATTCAGATCGTGCAATTCTCCCAGGTGAAAAGAAGTTTTGCTGGCACGTGACTCAGCTGTCGATTAGCTGTCCTCGGATACGAGGCAGCTACATTTCGCGACAGCGGAAAAAGAGAGTTCGATTAAGGGTATGAAAAGTTTTAAATTACCGATAACAGTTATTTTGAAAAGAAAACTATAGGACTATAAATTCAAACGATATAAATAGTATTTTTAAATGATGAACGCAAAAGGCAAACAAAAGATTGACATTCAAACAAACAAGTACGTGCGTGCAATTTGATATATAAAAAGGCGAGAGGCAAAATGTCATACAATCCAATTCCCTTCTTTCCCATTACCCTCTGTATCCACAAAAAGGGCGCATAAAAATGCGAGAAACGTGCAAAATTGGGAAAAAAAATAATGGACACTTCTTTTTCTAGATTTTTGCTCGCACTGGAATATCTATATTTGTCGCTCGGTTTGGTCTATACTCGGTTCTGGGTTATTAATTTTCTATCGGGCGTAAAGTGATATGTTTTTAGCCCTGGAATAAAATTTTATTAAAAAACAGTAGTTTGTGAAAATGCCTGCTGGCAGACGGAAAGCGGCAACAGTCAAACACAAATACAATTATGAACTCCCAGCTAGTGGAAAAGCGGGGCCCGTCTAAATATTAGTGCAAGTTGTGTGCCTGTCTATCAACCAAGCTGGCTGTTTGGAGGAATATGCAGAATATAAACGCAAGCACTGTCAAACTGACGCCTCGACTGGAGGGAAACGATGACGAGGTCTTATAGTTGGAAGAAACTTGCAATAATGTTTCACAGCTTACATTTGTACTTAAGTTGCAGGTATATTGTAAGTTCTTCTCTCTAACCTCAAATGGTAAATTTGAAATGGGGATGTTAGAGTTAGGTACCAAGTCAAGTCAACTTTATATTTTCAACAATTATAACACACTGACTATACAAAATGGTAACACTTCAAACTCTACCTTTACCAGTTATATGGTAAAGGTAAAAGGTACAAAAATACCGGATGCTGAAGACATAACAGTCGTCCCTCGTAATTCTTCATTATAAATTCATTTTCTGAACTGGCTCAATTTTGCGTTTAGATCTTCTAAAAGTCATGGTGTTTTGTAGAATAGATGAATTCTGATCTTGTGTTTCCATTTCCTCAGTAACATCATCCTTGTTTTTTATTGTTAGATTCTTCTTGTATATAATATTGCTGGTATTCTGAATGTTTACATCAGATTCTTCTTGTAGAGTAAGTAGTATTAGTGGTTTCAATGTCTTCATCTGTTACTTCTTGTATGATCGAGTGAATATTATTATTGGTATTTTGGACGGCTCCATCTATATCCTCTTCCAAAAGAACTGCAGGATCATTAATCGTGTTTTTGGGTACTTATGTGATTGCAATATGGTCAACGTGTCTACGCCATTTACGACCATCATCCAGTTTTATCAAATAATGTAATATATAGGCTTTCTTTCTGCAATATGACCACATTCCCATACTTTTCATCTCAATTTTATTTATTTCAAAAATCACTCTTTCTTCTAAAGCATAAAGAATTTTCCGAGTAGGAATGTATATGGGTGAACAGTTTTCTTCAAGAAATAGATTACCCTGAAAATTGTTAATTTTTCCCTCGTCTTGAAAAACATCTGTGAATGTTTCTTTAAGACTTGCAGTCACCTCCTCTTTTTCCTCCAATATGTTTACAGAATGTATTTCTGAGGTCTCAAGTTTTGTGGTATTTATCCATTCTTTGCCAAAAATCGGGTCAATTTATCCTGGTATAATATATAAAATAGCTGTAACTTCCCTTCCCTTAACTTCCAAATTCATACTTGAAAAACCAATGGGTTCTATAATTTCACCTGTATATGTTTTTAATGGTAGATATGTTTTATTTATGTCTTTTCCAGGAAATTTGTTAATAAAATCCTGATATGAAATCGAAGATACCGCAGCTCCAGTATCGTACTCCATTTCTAGCTGGATACCATCTAAAGTTACTTTTACTAGATATTTCTTTGGTTTTTTAAAATTTTCTGGTAAATATATTGTATCAAGTGAATTAAGGTAATATAATTCATCTTCATTTTCTTTTTCCAAAAATTCTTATTGATTTAAATTTCTATAAGTTGAGGATGAATGTCTCGGAACAGAAGAAGAATTCATACATACTTTAGCAATGTGTCCTCTTCTACCACATTTGTTACAGTTTAGATTAATTTAAACACAGTCATTTGCTAAATGTGAATTTTCACCACAGCGGTGCAGGATTTCAACTCTTTCTGTTTTACTGATCGTAGTTTTAGTGTATTAACTTGATTTTGATCAAACAAACTACCTACAATTTTGAATTTCTTTCGTTTCTCGATGTGCAGTTTCCATTGCCATAGCCAAAGTAACGCAATAAGAAAAAATATTCCTTGGAGCCTTCAGTTATATTATTTTTTCAATAATATTTGGATTTTTCATACCGTTAACAAGTTGTCGTCGAAGGTGCACATCAACAGTAGAAGCATTACAGCTAAGACATTTAAATTCACAGTCTGCATAACTTTTTAAGGTCAGTAACGAAACCTGAAATACTTTCGTCTTCTCGTTGAACTCCTTTTGCATTTTTATTTTGTGATGCAATTATACTTGAAGAAGGATTTAATTGGTCTTTTACTAACTTCACTAATTCTTCATAGGTTTTATCCTTAGGATCATCAGGACTTACCAAGTTGTAAGGTTTTGGATCCCATTGTATGAAGCAACCATTCCATTTTTTTTTCCTATTTCAGAAGCAGATCCTATAAATTTTTTCATACTAAAGAAGTTCTCTAATCTTTTAATGTATTCCCCGTATGTTCCAAGAAAGGTTCCTACGGTAAGACAAGGCTGGACCAGTGCACCAAGAGGGAGATAGCACAATGGACCACATGCGCGTCTACTTGCTGCCTGTAAAGGCTTCCCTTTCAAATCAATCAATCAACCACATCCCCCTCATCAACAACCAACCTCTATTTCACTGACCACACAGTCATCACTTCTGCTTCATTTTAACGCAGCTTCTTCACATTTTGATTATTTCTATTGGAACCTGGAGGTTTATCTCTCAGATAGAGACGTGGATGAGCGATGGGAAGATCAAACTTAAACCCATTAAAATGTCTCGATGGTACAGTTGAGTGAAATAACTGGGTGTTCACTTCGACAGAAGCCATGCATGGATTACGAAATGTCAATCCTTTGTTACCAAAGTAGGGCACGCTCCCTGTCTAAATTCACAAAAGCCTTATCAGCATCCATAACGAAACAACTTACTACAAATAATTCATCCAATCAGTTTTTACCGAAATTCCATAAAAAAACTGCAAGCAATTCAAAACAGATTTAATCATTTCAATCGCTCATCGTTATGTTAGATTATCGAAGCTCTAATAGGAGCTGGGCGTGGAACCATTTTAATCTTTCATCAACTGTCAGATCCATATAGGCAGAACCTCCACTTAACCCAGAGTCAAATCCTTCTCAATTCCCACACAAAAGTAGAACTATGCACAAAAACTAGTAAAATACTTTCATAGAACACAAATGCCTATCTAGTGTGATCAGAGCCATGAAAAGTGGAACTTATCGCCGCATTAGATTAGTAAGTATAAATAGAAACTCGTTGTTGCAAGTTCTCATTAATTACAGCCTGCTTTCAGCCCTTATAAATTTTTATGATTACGTTGGACCCAAACCCCAAAGCACAGTTTCCCGAACTAACCCAAGAAAAAAAAAATCCTCGCACGCGAAAATTCTAGCTAATTACGGTCCGAACATAGTTAATCAGGCTAAAAGGCAAAAGTAAACACTGTGTCTTTATGGCGTCTATTAAAAGTTGGCTCGTAAAAAGTTTTCGCAACAGGAAGAACAATAAAAAGTCCCGTCTTGCGAGGAACTCTTAAAAGATTCAATTCTTCCGGTAGAAAAAGTTTTACTTGTCTTATGGAAAATTAAAATAGGACGGGCTTTTATGTTATGTGTTTATAGCTTGAGGGGTACTTGGGAAAAAGCCTGTTTGAAAATAAAATACTCCAGCTGGTGTGTCTATTCAAAGTAAAATAGGTCATGAACATGTTTAAAGACTGACTTCTTACGTTATAACTCTGTTCAGAAGGAATTAGCAAACAAGTTCCTCGTTACTAATGTAATTTTCTGTTAAACACTTTCTACAATTTAATTCCCAAACAAACTTTAAAAGTGTCTGACCGCAGCTCCGGTTTTGATGCACGGCCACTCGGAAAATTGCAAAAAGCTGGAACTGCTAGGCGATTACGGTAGACAGTGCCATCAGTCAGAGGCTTTAGAGGTGCGTCTATGGACCACAGCTTCAACGAGAACGAATAGTTGGACATACTTTTAAAGTGTTGCCATACACAAAGAGTTCTAACTTCAATTCACTTGCTGACTGAATTCGGCATTCAATGGAAAAGTTTGTGATTATAAACAAAAAGTGTATGGTCTATCATGTCAGCGCTCGTTTCCGAAACAGATGAACTCACTCCAAATATATTGGAGGAAGATGTCCAATTGCTTTTTGCGAGATTAAGGTTTCGAATAAGAAAAGTACTTTTTTGATCATATTTTACTCACAAAGAAATCGCCAATTTTGTTCGACGTAAAGGGATTACTTTAGTCTAGAATTATAGAGGTTATTGTTAAGGGTTCATTGCCATTTAAATAATCAAGATCTTTTTTGGATTTGTGTTATGAAGTTGGAAATACTTTGCGCCTAAGCCTAACCGCTACTTAAACAACATTCACCGACATAAAGTTAGGGACAACTAA